CAACTTGAAAATTTCTCAGGGATGGATCATGGATGCCCTAGGCCTATTCAATACCCGGATTGATATTTGTTCAATCGCAAGCAAATTGGAAAGGTATTGTTGGTGGTGACCAAAGTGGAGATAGCCAAAGTTGGCTCCTTTACTGATTAATTAAAAAAAATTCCAGATACGGATTAATTAATTAGGGAGAAGCAGCACAAGCATTGATCCACTTAATTGAAATCTGACGGATCCAGTAATACCTACATGGCTACATGGAACGGGCCACGGCAATCCATGAAAGCTTGAAGCTTGAAATAATTTATAGATGTTGGTAAGAAAGGTCCAGAATTGGAATAGTGTTGGAAGAAAGATGAGATTATTATGAGATAGGATTGCAAGAAAGTGAAAATGTGAAGGAATTATTACCGATGCCAGGGTCGGTGTCAATGATGATCTTCTTGGGTTCAGTCACTGCCATTGTCGACGACTGTCAAACAGTCAAAAGGAAAAAAAAGACTTAACTACTTATTAAGGACGCTCGCTCGCTGCTACTGCCTCTGCCTCTGGCCTGGCCCGCTGATGAAGATGAAGATGCAGATGCAGATGATGCACTGTTTGATTGATTGATTGATTTTTTGTACCAGAAAAGAAACTGTGAGTTGGAAAACAAAAAGAAACTGTGTGTGAGAGAGACTGAGAAAAAGTTTTTATTATTCTAAACAACCGCACTGCTGCAGTTGTCCCCTCCTAAAATAAAAAGCTAAAACAAACAAACGAACAAACCGCACAAAAGCTGACGCTGATCCCATATGCTTGTTTGGCTAGCTATTAACGGCTATGAGGGACCACGGCCCCACTTGAGAACTGATGGCATTTCAGAAAATATATCTGAAAATAATGGGTATGTTGATAAAACAATGATGACCTTCCCCCCTCCCCCTCTCTACCTCCGTTAGATTTTGAAAATCATTTCCTTTTCAGATCTGCTGTTTCCCTTGCTTAACACTCACTCATACACACGCAGAGTGAGGCCTTCATACGCTATGAACCGATCGTTGTCGTCAAAACTCGCCAAGAAACCCTCTCCGGCTCCGTCTCCGGCACCGGCGACGGCGAACAAGAAGAAGAAGAAAAAGGAGCAGAGCCTTCGAAATCCATTACAGGATCTCAATACCAGCAGCACCATTAGCAATAGCAACAATGGCAGCGAGGCTTCTTCTTCTATCTCTGTCGAAGCCCCTCGAGGTTGCCTCAGGTTCTTTCTTTCTCATTCTTCTTCTTCTTCTAATTCAAAAACTCCTATTTGTAGGCCTAAAATACTGTCCAAAACCCCTAAATCGGCTCCTGTTGTAAAGCCTTCAAGGCCATCAAAATCTAAGGACAACCGGTCCAAATGCAATGCTTTGGAAAACCCAGAGAAACTCACATCCCGGAATGCGCACAAATTTAAGAATAATTCTTCTTGTTTGTACCAGTGGCAGTCTGGGAACAAACCCAGTTCTAGAAATGGACAAAAGATGAAAACTTGCTCAGTTTTAAACTCAAATGGAAATTCCCGGAGTAAGTTCGAATCTGGGTCTGTGGTGGAAGATATTGTCAGGGTGGTTGGTAATGCCGGTCAGCCCACTGAGCTCAAATCATGTGGTATTGATGAAAATTTTACACCTTTGAGTAAGATAGTGACAGGGTTGGGTTTGGACTCCAAAACTGTTAAGGATGAGGATTTGCAAGAGAATTCTAGCAAAAGTGATGGTACAACTCCACCAGTTCAGGCCTCTATATCTCCAGAGATACAATGTGGATCGTCTGCAGTGTCAACAGCCACACGTGCTTGTTATGCTACTGGCCATGTTCTTTCTGGGATCACTGACAAGAGAAAGTGCAGACCTAGAGGAATTCTCAATGTAGGAGAGAATGATTCAGGTTTCAGTAAAGGGAAGGCTTTAGGCAGTTTTGAGGATGATGATGACGATGGTGATGATGATGAAACTGGAAAAGGAGTTTTTGGCAATCTTGATGCTTCTGTGATACCTTTACCTACTGAAGCTTCAATGCATTGGCTGTTATCACCGTGTAATGAGGAGGATGAGGATCACAAGGAGCATTCTGAAAATAGTTTTCAGAATTCTGTAGAGTCTGTCAATCTTTATTCTCCATTTTCAACCTCAGGTCATCATGGATATTCTTTAGATGTATGCAACAATACTAATATGGGAGGTACTACTAACTGTAGCCGGAGGAGTACTTCAATTTCTCCAAGCTATCAAGAAGTGTTAGAGCCCTTAAATACCGATCCTGTTTTGTCGTCTCCCCCTTGCACACCTGGTTGCGAGGCTCTAACCTTGAAAGACGAAAGAAAATACCATTATGATTATGACTGCGATAATTCTCCATTCTCTATGGTTTCACTGGGTAGTGAAAATGTTATTCGTACTCCTCAATCACACTCAAGTATGGACAATCAAAGGAAACACTACTTTGATTCTGAACTCAGTTCAGTGGCTGAAGCTATTCGGATGGCAAGCTTGTCCCCAAACAGTAATGTGTTAATTGAGGATCAGATTGATTCAAGTTTCCAGTTTGACTGTCTAACTACAACTTGCAATTCAATCAGTCGATTTCAGAAAGTTTTGGATGATCGGGCTTCCTGGCTTTCCAACTCTACCCCAGAAAATGTGTCACAATCCGAGATGAGGATATCATGGAGAGAAGGGTTAGTGAGTCGTATCTACGATATGGATGAATATGATTGCTGCAGATGTTTGTCAGACGAAGAGGAAGATATCAATGGCTGCAGCAGTGATCGCTTAAAAAAAACTTGTCAGAGTCCTGAACTCAACATCAATGTTGGGAAAGATCAGATTTTAAGTTATAATTCTCGGTCTGGTGAACTGTTGGATGATGAAGCAGGAGCGGGGAAAGTTGAAGAAGGCTTTCCTTCTCAGTCATCATGCGTGTGTGCTGAGTCCATAAGTACTGATGGAGGTGGCCTGCTTGCATCAGGGGATTCAGATTGGACTCTGTGCTACAAGAACGAGTTGTTCCATGTATAACTAGTTAGTCTTGCAATCATATTAGAGCAAGTCTGGCAACCCTTGATCCAAAGTGGTTTTTTTTTTTTTTTTACCCGGTTGAAGGACCACTGTTGTATCCTATTCTTTCCATAGTTTAGTTTCAGTTGTGTATCATATAAATTCCCATTCAATTGAGATATTTTACATGAAATGCATGTGTAAGGTTTTTTAGGAAACTTAAGAATTGTTACATAAACTCTTCAGCAGTCGGTCAAGGATAGGAACAAGGAACTTCTATCTCCGTTGTCATGCGAACGAATTTACCCACATCATTATTCATTTGGCAGTAATAAGAGGTAGGTGAGCATGGATTATACCTTAAATGCGGATTGAAAGTGATTGTAACTGGTGAAAATGCCATAATACCAGTATGAGGAAGCCGTTCACTTGTGATATGGGGTTCCAGTCATAAATTTGATTCTGCCCCTTGGTTGGTACCCTGAACCGGTAGGCATAAGAGGGAACTTCTTGTAAGTTAACCTACCCTTAGAATGTTGGATGAAAACTCTGTTTAGAATAACATATCGCAAATTGGAAGAATATATAAATATTTTAGGTGCAGATTGGACATTTTATAGATCATTAGTTGGGAATAGATTAGTTAATGCCATGAACAAGATTAAATGTGAAAAATGAAAGAAAAGAACAAAAGTAGACGCCTAATATTAATAAGCGCCTGGATGGTCAAATTCCCTTTTTCTAAAGTGAAAAAAGAAAAGGGTAACTTGAACAACGATGTTAATGTATTTAGGAAGAGACGAACTAACTAATAATCTTCCTAATAGTGTGCTTTTTTTTTTTCGGTTACATAGGGAGTTTTGAACCCGGGTGCCAGTTGGGGGGAAAGATGCTGCCAAACCACCGCAGCTAAACTCCATTGGCCTAGTAGTATGCATTTTGTAGCTCATAGTTTTGTATATTAATGAATTGAAGCTCATAGAAATTCTCCAAGAGGATTAGGTGAACGAGGAGGCCAAGAGAAGGGACACCACTTTGTCAAATATTCATTCCACCAACCATGCATTGCCGACTCTGTTCAGCTGCTTCACTCAACATTAATTTAAGACGTACGGCTGCTGCTGCCTGCTAGATTTGGTATATGGTATATACTATATGCGAAGGATGATTAATTTTGACTTAGGCTAGAATTAATCGAACTTATTTATTATTATGATCATTACATAAACAGGTGAAGTGATTAGAGTAGAGGAAATGTCACATGTGCATGGATGGACAGTAATAGTATAGTGGACTAGCTCAGCTAGAAAGTTGAAAAGCTGGTGTGTGTATGTGTGTGTGTGACTGAGTTTTTAAGTTTGTGTCTCTTTCCTGCAGTTGCTGATAGATTTTGATAAGGATCCATCGAGAGAAGAAATCTAACTGGCGATCATTGGCAAAGGTCGGAGGAACTGGGCAAGTAGATAAGCTTTGAATTTTAATTTGACATGGCCATGGGCCAAATGTCAAATGTCATATGCCAAATGGTTGGACAAACCTTAGCAAAGCTTGACCAAGTAAGCAAAAACCAGATATGCTTCTTAATTGCAATTCTTTATTTCATTTGTACTTAGATAAAACCCAAAAATAAACAAGAAGATGAAGAAGATGAAGACGATGACGAAGCGTGCGTAATGTGTTTCTTATTTAATCGAATTTCAAGATTGATTTTGCATATGCTGAGTCACACTATGAGACTTTGAATTGGATTGGATTGGATGATATTATTAGTTGGCCGGGTGGAGGTAGGGGGCGGCATTTGATTAGTTTCCCTGTTAGTTAAAGTCAAAAATAAAAATGGCGTATTGGACTTTCATTCCATTCCATTCCAATGGTGTGTGCGTTGATGTCCCTTGTTAGTACAAGAAAAGAATATAATATGAATATATATATATATATATATATATATATAAAAATTTGATGATGCAGTTGAATGATGGCTGATGAAATGATGCATGTCAAAAACTAACCAAATGACCAATAAGGACCAAACCAACCAACAAGTAGAACAAAAAGGCTGGGTGGCTGGCAAGGGGAGACTTTCTGTTATAATAGAATAGTAGAATAACTTTTTCTTCCTTGTCCAATATATATATTTATGTATATATTGCAAATTCTTGCTGCTCTGCTTCATCATTAATTAAGATCAATCAATGGAAGGTCTGATTCCAATGGTGTACAAGGCAATGAAGAGGAACAGAACTCGCCGCCAATACAGCAGCCTCTCATCATCATTATCATCATCAGCATCAGCAGCTCAAACTAATTACAACATCGCCGACTTCTACATTGATCCTAATCAAACTAATTACGTCTATGTGCCACCACCTCCTCCTGCTGCTTCTTCAACTCCTCATGATCATCATCGTCGTCTAAGTCTCGACACCATATTTAATGTAAACAACAATGGTGGCTTTTCTACAGTATCTGCCCCCGTGGAGCACAAGTCATCATCGTCCACAAACAACATAATCAATGGTCAAGTAATTCAACACCGACGACACAAATCTGTTTCTGTTTCTGTTTCTGCTCCTCCAAAGCAACTTGTCCGGTTTCGGAGCCATCGACGAATCTTCTCATGCATGACTTGTGGTGTGGTGCCTAGCTAAGAGCTGATTAACAACGCATACCACCTGCCTGCACTATAATTAGTAGATAATATTTTGATTATCTAGCTTAGTTAACTTAATGTTGTAATTAATACCTCTGCACTCTGTTCCTCCATTGCCTCTGTTTCTCTGCTTTCATAATTTCTCCATCTGCCAAATGCAAATCTATAAGAAATGTTGTGATGCTGGCCTCAGGCCTGCCTGCCTCCAATAATGAATCAGATACCAAGCTTAATTAGGATTTTGTATTTTATTTCTAACTTTGTAGGATGATTATCTGTTAAAGGTGGACCTTACATATGGTAAGGTAGGATCTTAAATGTCTGCAATATTCATACCACCATGCATGTGATTGAATGGAACATTAATCCATCCATACAAATTAAACTCATTTCATATGACTCTAGAAACTGGAAATTGGCAAACTTTGGTCAGTCAATGGTCGAATGCAGATATGGTACTGAATATCACAGGTTTTGTTGTTGAGAGAAGGAAAAACAAAAACAAGGAGTTTTGGAATTATGTATTAATCCTTCTATTCTATTGGAAGGAAAAAGAAAAAGAAAAACAGAAAAAAAG